TCACACAGTGTCTCCAGGGATGACTGACCTTCATTCTCCCTAGCCAGACCAGCCATGGCTGTGGGGTGATCAACACCACCTGAGCCAGCTGCCTGACCTGGAGGGAACCGCAAGCGCTGGAGGGTCCAGGAGGACCTGATGAGTGAGCACATGTCCGTCCTCAGGGTCATGCAGCAGATGCTGGCCCAGAAGGTCCAGGGCAATGAGCAATGGTGGGCCGCGCTTCTGCAGTAACGCTGCGACATCTGTGCCACCGTCTGGGAGATGATGGTGTACCCGGCACCAGTCCCAGTCCCTGCTTCCCATCCCAAGCCAGCCCTTGCTACGCCTCCCATACCTGACCCCACTCCAGCCCCGCCTTCTGCCTAGCCCCTTGTTCTCCTAGGCCCTCCAACCCTGAGGTCACTGAGGTTCCCGGACACGAGGTGGAACTACCAACCTAGCCACGTGCCAGTCTGAGCCCCAGCTCTAAGCCTCTCCTCCCCAGTCCAAGGTTTTCACTTCCTTCTCCATATCCAGGTCCTCAGCCCCCCTCTTCCCTTCCCATATCCAGGTTCTCACTACCTGGGGGATGTTGTGCTCACCCACATTAAGGAGGGTCAGGAGGCACCTGAACCATGCCTTCAGGTGCCAAAAGGCGCATTCCACCTGGATGCGGGCCCTGCCCATGCAGGCATTGAAACGGTCCCTGCTTGGGTCCAGGTGGCTGGTGTAGGGCTTCATCAGCCACAGCATGAGTGGGTAGGCCACGTCCCTCCACGATGCACAGTGGCATCTCAACATCCCCCAAAATGATGTTTCGCTGGGGGAAGAATGTGCCAGCCTCTAGCTTCTGGTAGAGGCTGGAGTTGCAGAACATGTGGACATCATGCGCGCTCCCTGACCAGCCTGGCATCCCATGAAAATGTCCGAAAACTGTCCACAGTGGTTGACCAGGGCCTGCAGGATGATACAAAAGTGACCCTCGAGGTTTATATACTGTGCTGCATGGTGGTTGGGAGCACAGATGGGGAGACGGGTTCCATCCCACAATTGGGGAGGCCCAGGGTGGCAAATCCAGCGATGATGGAGTCCAGGTCTCCCAGATGGATGACCCTGCTCATCAGGATCGTGTTAGTGACCCTCACCATCTGCAGAAAGATACAAAGAAACACACAAAACAGAGAATCAAAGGGGTGCCTGAGTCCTTGGTAGGACCCTGAGCCCTTCCTCTCTTCCCCCCCCAGCAGCCACCCTCTATGAAGCCTGCATTCCCCCTGCAGAGTTGTGTGAGGGCAGTACTACAGAACCCCCCGGGGATGAGACTCTCCCCACCCCCAGCTCTCCTAACCCCCTTTTCCCTAGGGTCTCCCTTTCCAGTACTCCCCCCAGGGACTGCAACCTGAGAGTGCCTTACCTTCATGAGCAGGGTCCCCATGATAGACTTTCCCACGCCGAACTGGTAAATGTCTGGTGTGGCAAGTTTCCATATGTTGAGGGCGACCTGCTTCTCCAGGGGGATGGTGGATTGCAGCTGGGTGTTACATCGATGGGGGCAGGTGAGAGCCAGGCACACAGCTCCAGGAATGTCTCCTTCCTCATTCTGAAGTTGTGGAGCCACTGCTGGTCACCCCACCACTCCATCAGCAGCCAGTCCCACCAATTGGAACTGGTGTCCAGGCTCAAAAACATCTCTTCATCATGGAGTGTGTTTGCAAGGGTCTTGCTCCTGCACACAGGCAGAGGTTCTCAAGGATGAGTTTGGAGTCAAGCTCATGAAGGGCCACCACATGCACAAAGGTAGCTCTCGCACCATGTCAGGGTGTCCCTCAGAGAGGTAGGCAAGCAAGAGGAAATGCTTTGTTGTCCCTCAGAGAGCTAGGCAAGCAAGCAGAAGATAGTGAGAAACGGCTGTCCAGGGAGTCCCTATCAGCACATGTGTCAGATAGCCTCAGGCAGCAGCACCCGGAAGCAACTGCTGACCTAAAGCCCTGCCTGAACTGGTTCTGGGTGGCTTTAAATGTGAGATAGCATCCACACTGATTGGATGCTATCTTTCGAAATAGAAAATCACTGTTTCATTGTGCTTTCTGTGTGTGGACGCTCTCTTTCGAAATAACCTTTTTCAGAAGATCTCTTCTGAAAAAGCTTATTCTGAAAGAAGCTTGTAGTCTAGATGTACCCTTAAGAGACTAAAAGATTTATTAGGGCAAAAGCTTTTGTAGGAAAACACTTCATCTGATGAATTGAAGTGGAAGTTACAGAAGCAGGAGTATATATAAGGAAGAAGTTGCTTGTGTTAATGAAGTTAATCTTTGTCAGGGTGAAAGTGGCTCATTCATAGCATTTGGTATGGAGAAGTGAATATTCAGAACAGGGAAATTGCCTTTGTAATGCGTTAACCAGTTGAGATCTTTATTCAATCCTAAATTGATAGTGTTGAATTTGCAAATAAATTCCAGTTCCGATGCCTCTCCTTGTAATTAGGTTTTGAAATTCTTTTGTAGAAGGATGGCTACTTTCAAATCCATTACTGAATGTCCAGGGAGGTTAAAGTATTCCCTTCCAGATTTATGTGTCTTACCATTCCTGATGTCTGATTTGTGTCCAGTTATCCTTTGTCACAGAAACTGTCCAGTTTGGCCAATATACATGGCACTTGATGACATGTATCACATTAGTGGATGTGCAGAGGGTAAATGCAGTCATAAGTGACACTTTTTAACTCAACTGTGGCCTCTAACATCATTTCACATTTTGAACCATATAGCTAACAATCCAAGGTCAGAGCAGCAAGCTAAATAAACATCCAATTTCAACACGTTACAGAATTCAAATGGGTTAAAAAAAATTCAAAGTAGCCTGTCCAAGTCAGAAAGATGCAAGCAGAAATCTAAGCCCATTTGACATCTGATTCCAGGGGAAAGACTGCTAACAACATTTTGTAAGCTACACCTATAAAAACTGTGACTGGGTCACCCTGCTTTTCTGTACCTGCTTTCTGCTGTGGGAAATCTGCTGAGCTTTAACTTATGGCTTTGTAATAGCCTAGAGGATGAGAATAAAAGATGTAGGGCTGTTTTCATTTTTCATGTAGTAAAACACCCAATGCAAGAGAAAGCAGCAGGGAACTCTGACAGGCAGTAATCATAGCTGTATACAAATGGTACAGAGACCTCCTATTGTGCAAGACAAAGGAGATTCAGCTAGGACAGGAACTGAGAGAAAAAGGGGAGTGAGAAATAAGTTATCAGAGCATCATAAACATCAAGGAGAGGGGAGAGAGAAAGAAGGTATCACCAGTAACAGGGTGAGATCTGCAGTAAGAATGATACCTATAAAAATGGCTTTTACCAAGAATAGCAGAAGATGGTTTTGGTGCCTCCCTTACTCTTTTGGGACAGCCGATCAAACAAACGAGAATTGAAGATGCAGGAGCAAAAAAGAAAAGAAAAAGCACCCAAATAAAATGAACAAGCAAACAAAACCCAACTAATGAGACAATGCTCCCTGGAATTTAGCACCCAGGGAAAATACCCAGATACCCTAGAACAGGCTCTGGACATTACATATAAATATGACCCAGCTGTTTGCAGCAAACAGTAAAACACAAGTTCTGAAGAGGGTGAGGGGAAAAGAGTGGAAGCTGGCACTGTACCTGGAGTATTTGAGAGACTGAAAAGCCAAATATATTAGCTACTATGGTTTTCTCTTCACTGCCAAAAAAGGTGGGTTTTCAGGGGTACGAGTAACTTAAATATCTATAGTTACTGGCTTATCACAACCCCTTCTCCCCCTTGACAGAAGGGGCTATGGAAAGGTGGTTTTGGGGATTGCAATGGGCCTGTGCCTGTAAGAAATTTAAGTGTGGGGCTCAGAGCAGGGGGCTGAAGGGTGCAGGGAGCTCAGGGCAGGGCTTGTGGGGGGCTCAGTGTAGGGGTAGCCCAGGGGAGGGGGCTGAGGGATGTGTGGGAGCTCTCCCTGATTTTAGAATGGAGGGTTCCTCCATTGGAGGCAGAGGAATGTTTGGGAGCTCAGAGCAGGAGGCTGGAGTGTGTGCAGGAGCTTAGGTCAGGAGGTTGGAAGTGTGGGGGGCTCGGGGCAGGAGTTGGGATGTGAGGGGTGCAGGAGTTAGGGCAAGGGCATGAGGAGCAGAAATCAGGGCAGGGAGTTGCAGAGGGATTCAGGACAGGGCTTGGGATATAGAGTGGGGCTCAGGGCAAGGGGAAATTCAGGGCTGGGAGTGCAGCCACCATGCTGCCGGATTCCCCGGGGGCCATGGAGACCATAGTGCCCAGCCACCGGAGAAATGGGGCTGAAGCCTGGGTGCTCTGTGGCCAGAGCCCTGTGGCAGCATCCAGAGCACACCCCCTGGTGGCCATTCTCTCACCAATGTGCTGCACTGGGGGGTACCAGCTTATTTCCACCTTTGGCTTTTATATAGCAAGGTCACCCATGCCACACAGACAGAGTTCTCTCCTGTAAAATCCTAGTGGATACAAGGCACCTGCACTGTTTACCGGCGGTAGCTTGGGGAGACCAAAGCAATGCTTCCTTCCTATGGCTGACCTCGTCTTTTGCCTATAGCAAAACTATACAGCTAAGTTGCCACAGGATTTCACAAGAGGATCTTTAACATGTGTGAGTTTGTGAAGGGGAAAATGTATACATCATTAGTGTGAGGAGTACAGGGGCAGCAAAGAAAGAGGGAAAGGTCTATCAAGATCCGGAGGACAGAGGTGTGCAGAAAAAGGAAGGGAAAGGAGGAATGAACAAAATGAGGGATTTAGAAGCTCTCCCCATATTTTAGAATGAAGTGTTCCTCCATTCTGGTTTTTTATATGAGATTTGACAGTCTTTCTGTGGCTTACAGTTATTAAAAAAAACCCAAACACTAATTTCCCTAAGCTTTTCCCAGGGAAAAACAGAATCCTCTCTGACAGGCCTGCCCACTTTTGATACGATGTCACTCTCATGATCCGAAAAATTACAAATTGGATATGTTTTGCATATCATTTCAGGCATCTCCTATTGATTCCATTTGGAAGTTTGCCCATCAATAATCTTGTTTCCAGTGACAACAGGACCGGCTGTGAAGTTTAATCTAATTAGGCGCTTCAAGGTTAGATACGATCATTTGATTTATTTTGACATTCTTATAATCTGATATTGAAAACATTGATATTGCATTCAAATTATCAGGATGTTCTATAAAAGCTATCACTCAGTTGCTACCCCTAATATTCCCTCCCACCTTCAATTAGCCTCGATGGGTCTGATTCTGCAAACATTTGCTGCTGTTGTAGCATACACAAGCATTCCCATTAGAGCCAATGGGACTAAGCAGGACTGTACACAGAAACGTTTGCAGAAACAGGAAGTATCTTTGTAGAACCTAGAAAACCACAGTGTTCTCTCTCTCAATTGGGTCTACAGCTGCAGCTGTTCACTTAATACTCCAGGAACACAATCAGAAATATTTTGGCATGCTAAGGTTCTATAGATCATGACTTTCTTACCCTCACAAAATAGTACAATGGCTTTCAGCCTTTCCAAACTAGTGTACTCCTTTACACTAGTCATGGTTTGGTTGTGCCAGGAAAATGGGAAGTGCTGTGAATGGGACTGTTTTCCAGAACATGGAAAGGGATGGGGCTGCTATTTGGAAGGACGCGATACTACAGAGTAACCATCGGAGGCAGTGAGGTCAGGGGAGAGCTATACTGTAGAGCAGTGGTTCCCAAACTTTTTGGCATCACAACCCCCTTTTTGATTTTTGAAAAACCCTCATGCCCCCGAGGCGGGAGGAACTGAACAAGGCAACAAAACTTGATGCAGGGGGAGGCTGGGTCGCCTCGCGCCACCCTGGAATTTCTTCACACGCCCCTCAGTTTGGGAACCCATGCTGTAGAGTGACCACTGGAGAGAACCACACCATCAAGAGAGTGGTGAGCTGAGGCTCGCCATCTTGCCTGCCACCAAACAGGATAATTTGCTCCCTGCCCCAAACTCCTTGTCCCCAGCCCTTGGCTGCTGCACCAGAGAGGGGTGAGGGCAGGGAGAAAGCTCTGCCAGATGCAAGGGTAGGGGAATGTCCCTGCTGTGTGTGGAGAAAAAGCCCTGCTGGATGGGAGCCGCTGTCCTGAGCCCTTCCTCACCCCCAAACTTCACTGTTCCATGCCCCAGCCTCCACGCCATACCCTATATCCCCAAGGGCTTGCCCTATCTCCTTCACATATGCCACCCGCACCACCAGCTCCCTGCCCCAAAGGACTTGAGTAATTCCAGGTATGTCTTCTAGTTATAAGATGAATCAAATAGATATTGCACTTATATTTTGGTATAGAGCAGCATCAAAAGTCACTGTATGAAATTTTAGTTTGTACTGACTTTGCTACTGCTTTGTTTTTATGTACCTTGTTGTAAAAGTATGCAAATATCTAGATAAATTTTTATACTTCCTTGAAGACTTCTGCCTATCCCCAGGGATAAGCATAACCCTGGTTGGGAAACACTAGAATAGATCATACACCACAATATCAGTGAGGCTACTTGTGGGTTAAAATCCTACTCTCTATTAGTAAGATTATCACAGACTGGCTCATAATAATTTCAATTCCAGTCTAAATCATTAACAAAAATCAATCTGTGTTAAACAGGAAAAAAAGCCTCAGGAAAAAACACAAGAGTTTATTTTTGTTAAAAGCAACGAAACAAGTGAAAAATATATTAAACAATAACATCATTTTCATAGTAGAAAAAACAAATAAGGAAACATACATTCTTCATTCCTAGGAAATAATTCAAGCCTGGCTTCTATGTTTTTCTTTGGAAGAAGAGATTGAAAACAATCAAGCATAATAGTTTTTAAATGAACATACATCTACGAAGAGACAATTGTTTGTGCAGTGTCATGTAAATTGACAACATAAAAAGAAAGAATCAGTCTAGTAGATGGCAGCAGGGGGCAGCAGTATGCTAAGTATGGGATAGAGATCAGTATTTGGACATTCTTGTTTACTGTACCTTATCATTGAGCTCCATGTATTTCAATCTCATGCCAAATATTTACTTGTTCTGGCAAAACAGGTTTAATCTTTTCAAAGTGAAAAGTGAAAGATGGGCTCTTAAAAAAGAAGTCTTCTCTGAGTAATGAATGTAGTGGGAAAATCTCTGCATTCTGATAAATATCCTCTCTCAGTTGAAAAAAACATTTTAATGCAACAAATACACAAAACTGGAGACAAGAAGTAAGATTTAGGTTGTCCAGGGTACAGACTCATAGCCAATTATGGTGAAAATCTCAAGAGGTTCACACTTTGAGTGCAAATACCAATCCAAAAAAGGTTGGATGCTTAATAAAATCTCTTTCATGTGTGTTAAATTGGGCTGGAAATCTCAAACAGAGATTCTGTTTTGAATAGAAACCAGAAATAATTCTGGGATACAAGGAGAGGGGAGAACAAAACCTCCCTCACCTAAATATTTCAGAACTTTAATAAAATTCTGGGCAAAGTTTTTGAATAATGGGGCCAGAAATGTTTTTATGTGAATTGTTTTACCCATCCTTAACCACCATGCAAGCCAAATTTAGACATGTAAGCAAATCTTTTATATACTTACATCATGTCCACATTTGACTCCCTATCTTCTGGAAAGGATAGGTTATTAATTTCTATTATAGGAACACATGTTTTAAAGATACATATGGTGTAGTGCAATTCAAATGGGAAAACTAAACAAGATATAGCCAGGGCTCTAATAATGATGCAAGTTAGTTTTTGAACTTTAGAAAAATAATTTGTGAGAAGTAACATATTAATGCTGCAGAACACAACAGTGTTACCCATAGGCAATATAGCTCAGAATTTCAAAGTGAATATAAACATAATTTGGGTCACACCTAGTATGTTTGCAAACAATGGTACATGGCAAAAATCATGATTCACCACCACATTGGAGAAAAGCTGTTATTATAATAACTGACTGGTAAACTAGTGTTTACTGGAAATTTAATGACTAAGGTCTCAATCTTTACTCACTGGGCCAGATTTTCACACGCTTTAAATCTGTATAGCTCCAAAGACATCAACAGAGCTACACTGATGTACATCAGCTAAAAATCTGACCCAGATCTTATGTAAGATTTTGTAAGCATTTTGTAATGCTTTTGTAAGCATTGCCCCACAATAAGACAACATGGTCATTGTCTCCTTCCATACATGTGACGACTATAACACAAGTAAACTTACTTATGTATAAGTGTTTGACTGGTCAGGCCGTAATGGAAAGAAGAACCTCCACTCCAAGGGCACAGTGCAAACAAATACTAACTGCAGAAAATTTTAATTAGTGGCTTATGAAGAAACAATTATAAAATGAGGCCAAAGTAGGTTTGCCACATGAGAAGAGAAAGGAACAAATCATATTGCCATAAAAGTCAAAATCCTTCTAATTAGTCTTTAATAAACAGATGATGCCTTATAAAAACATTCTGCATGTAAATAAATCTGTCTGGATGTAGCAGATTTTTCTGGGGATAGGCGGATTGTCTTCATTTTTTGTTATCAAGTTTATTTATACAGGCATATCTCATTATTTCTTTAAAATATGTCTGATCTTGTGTAGTCTCCCCCTGAAGCCATATGACAGTCATCATTTTTACAATGATCATGGAGGATTAGCAGCCCAGTCCTCATTTCTTTTTATCAGGGCTAGAGATGGTTGAAACTCAGAATTTCTGCTCTGCTGAGATTTCCCTAGAAAGTCCAAACACAATGTTTAGTCAATTCCATTTTGGATTTAAAACTGGCAAAGTTGAACTTCCCCACTGAATACAAAGTATGATTGCTTTTGTTTTGGAAAAATCTGTTTGGTTCAATTTTCCTACAACAATTTTCTTGCCCTGACTCCCAGGAATGCTTTATAGGGCTCACTGGGCTGTCCCAACTCCTCCTGAAGGAGTTCCTGAGAATCAGAGGTGCCCCCAGTCCACATAGCAAGGCTCCGAGAACTCCAGAGACAGTTGGCTTGAATTGCAGAGCGCAGCTGTAGAGAAGGGAGGCAAACCCTGCTTAGAGTTGGCACGCTCAGGGTTTTTAGGCATCTGGCTCCTTGAAAGGAAACTTGGAAGCTCTGGCATCTTGGGGCTGCCCTGGAGTTGCAGACCTTGGAAGCCCAGACTCCTTAGAAGTTTCTGATGGAAACTTCCCGTGATTTTATGGAAGTCCATCAAACCTAAACCATTATCAAGTGGAACAAAACTTTGTTTTGCTGGATAAAAATTCCAACAAACTCTAACTGATGGCATAATTCATATGCAGATCAATGGAAATAGGACTGGGTCCTACGGGCGAAGCTCTGGCCCACTAAAGTCAATGGTAGTTTTGCTCCTGATTTCAATGGGGGCAAAGCACTCTGAGGCCTTGTCTTCACTACAGTTTTGTTGACAAAAGGCAGCTTTTGTCAACAAAACAGCAAATGCGTACATGCTACAATGCAACTTTTTGGGGAGCAAAAATGCCATTTCACCTACAAATACCTCCCCACCTCAGTGAGAGACATAAGGCTTTCTGCACACAATTTTTGTTGCTGAAGTGCCAGTGTAGACATCAAGTTTGATTTTATCACTCTACTTGACTTCCAGGAGGTATCCCACAATGTCCAATCTGACACTTCTGGTCAGCAGCTCGAATCTCCCTGCCCTGCAACCAGATAAACAACCATCCATACCTCCCACTTAGAAGCCAAGGGAACTTTTGAAATTCCATTTCCTATTGGCCCAGTGTGGCTAGGTCTCATCACATCTTTCTAGGTGACCAAGGCTGGCTACTGCAATAAATGCTGTCCCACTTGGAACACTGCAGAGCTGCTAAATAAGCTCAGTATATGGGAAGCCATCCCTGCTGTGCTTCAGCCACAGGAATTTTGATATGAACAGGCAGATTGCTCAAGGCTTGTGCAAAAAGGGCTGTGATCAGGACACACTGCCATGCAGAGTGAAAATAAAGGAGCTGAGCCATGTGTACAATAAGGCAAGGGAGGCAAACCACTACTCTGATGCTGTACCTAATATCTGCCAACTCTATAAAGAGCCGGATGCTATTTTTTCTCTGTCACTAA